CCCCGAGCCGGCGTGGGGGCGGTGGGAATTCGGGGGGGTGGAAGTCCATACCCCTTAAAGTTTAAAGTTAAAGGTTTAAAGTTAGCTTCGGTATCCCATTCTCTTGCCATGTGAGCGTGCACCTAGAGAGGGCAAGTCACATTACACAAGTCATGATGTTATCCTGCAAATGATGTGAATTATATAATTTGCACAATGCGATCGATGCAGGTTACATCATTTGCGTCATCTGCGCACTGAGGTCACGATGCACATGATGTCGTCATGGCACATTTCAGTCCCCGTGAACCCAGCATTATGAATATACGCTGGCTTCACAACTGTGGCTTGTTCGGTGTTGATTTAATATAATGTGTGAATCCAGATGTTGTGGCTTGTGGCCTGGTGTGCATGCAAACCCAATAAATTATGGCTTATTTAACAGCCATTAAATGTTAGCACATTTTGTGAACCAAATTAATAACTTCTGGAACCAATGTTCCCTTAGACTTATAGTGTATATACTATACACTGTTGGGTAGAGATGCTGGAGAATTTTTGGTCTGCATTTTAATTCACTCTTCCCGGACTATGCAGTTATTTTTTTTAATAATAATTTTTATTAAAGTTGAAAGATGCAAAGATTAAAAACTAATACAAACTAAGAAAAATATAAAAAGAAAAAGTGCAGAGAGAAAGCAAAAAATAAAGAAAAAAGATGTATAAAGAAATGACTTCCTCCTTCATCAAGACAAGTACAAATAATTTCAGTAACTTATCACGTTCCCTGACATTTCAACAAAAGATCTCTTCTTCTATGCAGTTATTTTTATATGTGTGGTTTTTTGTTGTTTATTTATTTTACAGTTTTTATGTGCCACCCCAGTCACACAATTCTGAGTGCTACACAACAAAGATATACAGGAAAAACAAAACATCACCTGAAATAATTAAAACGGTCTTCATAAACAACAACAGTTGCTCACAATCACAAGGCCCACTGAAATAGGCAGAGATATCTACAAAATATGGCAGGGTTTCTCAACCTTGGCAACTTTAAGACGTGTGGACTTCAATTCCCAGAATTCCCCAGCCAGCATGCTGG